TGGTGCCATCTCCTCTGGCTTCCGTCTACAAGTCTCGCCTATCGGTCACCATGCCTGCTGACCATAACGGTTCCTGCCAAAAGCCACTTTACCTCCCTTAACAGTCGACATGACGCCGAAAGCAGCGCTTCCCGATCCACGTGCTTCTTTCTCCCCTTGTCCTCTGCGTAATTCCAAGCATCGATCTCTCCACGTTTACTTGCCCACTTATCAGCCCCCCCCCCCCCCCCACCAGTTTGTCAGTGCTCACGTTTACAACCAATATGTTTAACACGTAAATCAAATTAATGACATCTTACACAGCAGTGCTATCGCTCCGTACTGTTTTTTTTGCCTGTTGCACCTTTCGTAATAAAACTGCAACGACCCAAACCTTGAAGCTAGGCAAAGGGTTAACGCAATGCCGAGCGCAATGCAGTGGAGAACGCTTCATTGCGGTAGAACCCGTGGGATATCATCTAAATAGACCTCAATTAAAGTGAATGGTCTTCCTTTAATTGGTCTCTATGAAAGCGAATGTAGGTCGTTTAAGGTACAGCACCACACTTTAGCGTGGGGGGGGGGGGGTTCCTTAATTTCCCAAAGCGGCCAAAAACGTCACACTTAGACGTGTTGTCTTTGAAAGCAAAGTGTTTATTTCACTATATCATGCAACTCCAAGTTGTTTGCAAGGGGTGGCAGTTTTGTAAACGTATCACTAAGAAAACGACATGTGTATATGTACTGCCCGAGGCGTAATACTATGGGGATAAAACAAATAAGGGACTGGTGTTAGCATTGGTGCACACAGCACAAACCAGAAACAATCATGGCTACTGCGTTCATCATTAGCGCTGCCTTTAGAGCAGAAATAATAGTCGAACATTCCTGGAAATGGCGCGTATTCACAACAGAAAATTTGGTACTGGCAAAACATGAATTTGACGCGAAAGCTTTCACGAGATTAAATTATCCGATAACGGTGGCATGATGGCACGAAATAAATGTGCGTAGCTGTTTGCAGTAAACATCGAATCGTAGCAACAAACACTGGATAAACTGTGTAGTGGCAATGGTAAACGTGAACAATTAAATCAATTAAAAATATATTTTTACTTTTAAAAGATACCGTACATGTATTGAAATGTGTGCGCAAGAACAACGTGCCATTTATTCAGAAATGTAAGCAATGTTACCTTTAGGAACTGACAAGACACAAAACACATGACAGTCGAGATGAGGCAAAGTACAAACGATACAAACAAAAGAATCGATCCACGAACTGAATGATGCTCCCAAATTATACCAATTCATCAAATTTGGAGGCTGGTTAAACCATTACACGCCGACTAAAATGGTGCCATAAAACACTTATGTACTTACTGAAAGTAAACCATACACGCAACCTAATGGTACGAAAGCACTCTTTTGCAACGGCTGCCAGACCCTCTACCGAATATACCAAAATCAATATATGCGTACAAAAATTAGGTGGCGTCTCGGTGGTTTGCAAGTCATAAAATAACAGACAAGCGTCCGCTTCGTAAGCAAAAATATCAAATAAAATGTATAACCATCAGGCATCGTCATATGGCAACTCGGCAGCATGTTTAACTTGCTGATGACACTCAGAAAAAAATCACCCGAGGTTGCTTCTACAAAACAATGCGTCTCAGCATCATCAGCCGTGATCTATTCACTGTTGCATGAAGATCTCTCCAAAAGCGGTCGCCGTATCTCATGGTGTGACGATGGCAGATGCACCACCTGTGCCCCCTGCTGTGCCAACTTGCTGTGTTTTAGTCGCCCGGCGCTCTGCTCGTTGTTGTGAGCGTCGCTCCTCTGCCCTCCGTTGTTGCTGGAGGATGACTGCCTCCATCTGCCCAGTAGCAGCGTCCTCCACGAGCCTGTTCTACCCGCTACGCACACTTAAACACACAAGCTACGCACCACGTCGCCTTGTTGACGCACCAAAAGTTGCCTACGCAGGGCTATATTGAGATGATGCAGTTGACCCACATGGGTGGATTATTTATCTGGAGTGTAAACACACAAAAAACCATAACAGGACTTCGAAGCGTCTATCTCCATTATGAGCTCGTTATAATCAGCTATTCATTCTCAGGCCGTTCCAAGTCCACTAAAAAATAAAGGGCACGATCAGCTCTGTTGTATCCACTTGCAAGGCATGTGCGCTTCGTTTCGTTGAGGCATTTTTTTTATATACCACAAATATCTGTCCCTTCAGCTCATGAGCAAGGATGGGGCCAAACAAATTCCCATGATTATTTCTTTAGCCAGTATCACCGATTCGTTCACTCTCAATGCTTTTCTCTTCTTGAACTTTTACCGCTGCATCTATCCACCTTGTTTGCTCATCTTTCCCCAACTTGCCTTTCCTTCCACTTTTGTTGTGTGGCGTCGCCAAGAGAGGGCCTCCTGTGCGGGCTCATTGCAGTCGTTGTTTTCAACAGACTGCTTTGGCCACCCCTCTCTTCTTTCGTATGGCTCAGGGGTTGGCAACCTGCGGCTCTTTAAGGACCTCATTGCGGCTCTTGAAATAATTGACGTTGTTTTTGTTATATATACCGAATTCGAAAAAAAAATGTCTCTTCTTGTTATTTTGGTTGCCGATATTTGACCATGGGAGTCCAGTTTACCATGGAAAGCCCAGTTTATCAAGGGCAGGGGTCGGCAACCCGCGGCTTATTACGGACTGCTTCGTAACGTTATTTATTAGGGATTGTCTCGGATTCACGTGCATTGCGGCCTCCTGAAATAGACTTTTTCTTACCAAATTCGAAATGGCTCTTCTTGTTATTCGAGTCGCCGACCTCTGGAATGGCTGATGACGTAGATGCAGAGCAACGACTACAATTTCACATTCAGGTGGTCAAGCCAGACAACCACAGCAGCAGCCGCCGCCCTTACATATTCCCCGTCTCAGTGTGGTCCAAAGGGCTTATTGAACCAAATATAATTCCTGCGATAGATTTCATGGAATCAGAGGTTCCAGTTGAAGGGCGTTATCTATGTACTTAAATCTTCCATAAATTGGACGCTTAACCTATTAAATTTGAAAACCACCTGCAATTTGGGGATTAAGAAATTATACGGACCATAATTGTTAGTTGCACATTTTGTGCAGTGGACAACTGCTGAGCAAGCAAAGGTTTATCATTAGGGCATACTGCAGCCAATAATTGTAAAATAAGTCTATTTTACTGTGTATATATTTATATTCACCCTCAATACGAACTAAATATTTAAAAATATACATTTCAATATATTGCAACTAAACTGCAAGCCAAAGTACAAAACATCCCATGGCTGGGTTAAACAATGCAAGTCAACAACTGCCACCATATCCATGCATATATAAGTTGAAATTGTGACTGCAGACTCCACTCCCTATGTTCTGTAAACAAGAGGTCACAAGCAAACATTGTGCTGTCGACTGGAGAACTCGACGAATGAATGTGCTCTGTGTATGATTTTTCTCGGGGACAATCCATGCTTACCCAGATGCAGGGACTGCGTGCGTCACGGACAAATCCCAACCACCCTTCAGACATGCTGTGCGCATAAGCCCTATCTTAATGATAAAAGCCTACCGCATAAGTAATCACTATGTTTATATTTGTAAATAAGGCATGTAAACAGCTAATATGCTTCACCAAAACTGCACAGTTGTATCACGTAGTCCTTTACGTAACCCAAATAACAAATATCTTGTAGATATGTACCTAGGCTGTGTTCTGCGGTGTCCAGCACGACTCTTGAACTTCATTAATGAGAAAATAGACTTTAAAGCCAAGGTCACGTGTGTCATTATGGGACTGTTAATATCACTGTTATACCAGTCTTCAATTTTAATTCAATGTTAAAACAGCCACATCAGCAGAGTGATATCTGTTGTAATGATCTTGAACATTTGTCTTTTTTATCATGAATAAAGCTGCACACTCAAAAGTCACCGGTGAGTGAAGTGTTGGCAAGCCTGGGACATCGCCTTGATATGTATCTACAAGATAATGGTGCAATGATGGTGAGATATTAACTACCTCGCCTGGTATGAAAGAGGTCGTGCATTCGATCCCGACCCTGATGCCTGTAAATTTGGAATTTGCATGTTTTCCCCGTGGTCACGTGGATTTTTCTCCACGTCTTCCGGGTTTTTCCTTCCATATTTAGAAACTTGCATTTAGAGCATTTGGCTCCTATAAATTTCCACATGATAAGCCAGCTCATTCAGCTATCAGTTGTGGCCAGGTCGCTTCTGAAAAACAGCTGTGTAGCTGAGTGGGCTTCACCTGGTAAAATAAAAAAAAAAAGAGTTTAGTTTGAGTGATTTTGTTCGTTTAAATTTCATTTAAATAGGCTCAAGCAAAGTAATATTTAAATGAACAAAAGCTTCCAGCTAAAACACACGGGAAGAATACTGCAGCGGCATGACCATGACTCCACAAAACGGGGTAGGCCACGAGAAGGCTGTCATCTTCAACCACCCAAAACCAAGAATGTCCATTACCCACGCAAGCCTCCCGGCAATGCTCCCTCAGAAATTAAGGCCACGAAGCGCCTACACCTGCCACAGGTACACGAGTCGCAAACGCGGCCAGAACCGGCCGCCAAGATCCACCCCGCACAACCGGCATGGAAAACCTTTTTACTCAACGGAAGGACTGACGTAGGACTTTCAAAATGTGTTTGGTGGGCCACACGTGAACGCACACCTTAGCGTTGTGTCATAAAGATGCGTTAAAATAACACGCGTGTCGACCAACTGTCGACACGCGCTAAAATCAGAAACACAGTGTTTCCGGGTCGAGTAATATATTCCCTCTTTTAGTACCCGATTAGTGCGGCTAAGATGCTTGCAAGACGATAAGCATTGTTTTCGGGGCCGTTTCAAAGTGTTGGGTCTCACGTAGACGCACAAAATAAACTTGGGGGGGGTGGGTACGGCTCACGGTGGGGTGGGGAGGGGGGGTGACAAGGGGTCCCGCCCCCGCCCCCCCCCCCCCCCCCCCCCCACCGTTGCCTGCCCCTAGAATATGGAGGTGAAGAGCAGGTAGCAAAAGCAGCAGAAGGTGACAAAGCCAATGAGCCAATTGATGGAATAGACGTAGATGATGAGGCGGTCCATGTCCAGCCAGCCTCGGCTCTGCTCCTCATCCTCGTCCAGGCGGAAGGCGTGCGGGAGGTGCCAGCGCAGCTGCGTGCCGGGACGCCCGCTAGCTCCTGCAACTCGGAAGGTTGTCCACGATTAGCGCTGTCAGGCGGTTGCACACGGGCGGCGTCGTGGCGCCGCGGGGTGTCCCCCGGGGTGTCCCCCGAGCTGCCGCCACGAGAGGCGCGGAAACAATTCCTGCCTTGCGCGATTTGATGAACCGTCACGATTCAGGGTCACAATTCCATTCTAGAATGTCTTTTTTTTTTCCCCGTCTCGTTTGCATAAGACATGTTCCCCATGGATCGATTCATAGACTAAAGCTTATTCTTACACTCATGACATGCACCGAATGATGCGTAAGAGCATCAATTATTTATGATTTATGGAAATGATATGCTAATGCAATATTTATGCTAAGGATCTGCACACGTTTTATGCTAATGCAGCATGCATGTCAGAAACGATCATTTGTATTTGTTTGCATTGCATTGTCTTTCAGTACCCTTTGGGTATATCACAATATGAATTTAAAAACTGACCATGAATCGCAATCATTTATCAAATCACGAGGGCTTGCAGAACATTTACATACTTTTCTACGTGCAACAAGAGCTGCTTGTTGCTTGGGGTTCGCAGCGTTCTTTAATCAACGAACCGGAATCACACGAATCAGAAAAGCCCATGTCGGCTGTTTCTTAATGGCAGCTTTGCATCTTTAAAACGTGCAGAGGGGCACGCAAGAAAAAAAACACAAAACGCAGTATTACAGCGTGTGCTCCGTTCATTGCCCTGTCATTTATTGAGATTTACGCCCAGGATCACGATAATCCGTTTGCAGCCCAATCGTTTTTCTCGCTATAATCTCCATTCCGGATGAAAAATGCCACTCAGGAATAAGGGTCACGGTAAGATTCTCTCTCGGTTTCCCCGTGACGAGCAAATCGCAAGTCAGGAGGCTAATGCTCCTAGCCGACAAGATGAGCTCTTACAGTAGTGGCACCACTGCCGTGTCTTGCCACGTCTCACCCTGTTGTTTTCGGGGTAACTAATTCATTCAGACACCGCATGGTTTGAGACAGTGACCCAGGACAGCGGCAGTTTCGTTCCGCATTTTCACATCCGTATCACAGCAATGACACGTAGTGATAACTTAACAAAACCATCCATAGTCTTCGACATTTAAATTATAGGCGTTTACAGGTGACTGCTAAAAACTTTTGTAAACGAGATTAGATTGTTACTCCGAATCTATTACTGTCATGCTCTGGGTTATTGCGCACGCAAGTAATAACGTTAGCGTCTGAGCCACTCGCCATTTAGCAGTTCCGCGATCTGTTCATTAGCTAAGCCATTACACAAACAACGTTGTGCAATGTTAGGTTAGATCTGTCGCTTTCACTTGACATTGCACTGCGAATGCTAAAAGCTGATGCACATTACACTCCAATGTTATGGTGCAACAAAGCGCTGGTTATAATTACAACGGGACTGAACGCGCTGCTGCAAAATGCTCCTGTAATGAACTACATTATTAAAACGGCGAGTATGAAATTACTGCAGTCCACAAGACACAGACCTTCGTTCAAGGGAGTATATTCAGGATGGTGTACATCTATTAAAGGCGAATCTAACAATTAAGTGAACCAATGTTCCTTTAGAAAGCTCATTTTGCCTGTCGTATGCCATGCCCCACTATACAGATCAAAGCAAAAGTAACTGCTGGGAAATAGGATCTCATATGACATGGATAGGAGGTAATGTCTTTCTCTTCGAATGCAACACTATTGAAAAATAATGCAAAATATTGATGCACACAACCGACGGGCAGTAATTATCAGCGTGGGCATTTTTTATCATTTGTAAAAGTATGCCAAAATTATCTGTAATGCGCAAAGCTATGTTCTACTAGCGTATGAGCTTACACCGAGCTCAGTTCTACCTCGGCCTTAGTATATTATTAATATTTCCATTCAGTCGAGCTGAATGAAAGAGTTTAGTCGAAGCTTTGAAGTCAATTCATACATAATTGCTTTTTGAAATGGAAAATTTCCATCGGTAAACAAAGGTAAGCTTTGTCGTCAAATCGACAGGACACATCGCACACACGTGGACGAGCGCATAATCGCGCACGAGGACCTGTCGGATGTAATGGGTGGGCGGTGGGAGGGGTGGGGGGGTGGGGGGGTGGGGGGGGGTGGGGGGGGGTGGGGCTGGGTGGGGAGGGGCTGCTCACCCCGTGGTGCCCTTATAAAACTCAACGTTTAACCTACTCACGCCGGCTTGTGCCCGCCCTCACAGTCGAGCATATTTGCGGAATACACCACGAGGTGCAAAACTACGACTGATAATTTATTTACTGAACAAAAACTTCGAGGTACCAACAAGGGTGCATCCACTGCATCATTAAGCTCTCTATCTGCCCCTCTTGTGAAGTGGCGTGGGCTGTGCGACAGTGCCGTACCTCTCAGGGAGGCCATGATCGTGCGCAGTCCCCCCTGCCTTCCCGGGAGGGGCCAGTCCGGCCCGTGCAGCCTCAGGTCGGAGCGCTTACGTGCCACATACGCTCGCGGGAACAGTAGCTTTGCCGCATCATCGAGGGCTGCACAGACCACACAAAGACAAAGATCCCCCATGTAGCCTTAACAGACCGGTGGGAAAAGTGCCATTAGCCAGCACCTATGAAGGCCGGGGCAGCACACGAGAGGGTGGGTGGCCAGCACCACGCCCGGCCGCCTTTGTCTCCCGAGTTGCGATGTTTATACACCACACCAGGTGCTCATTTGAGGCTGAGCCGACCTAGGGAAGGCCCAGGACCGGTTCAGATAATCGTTGCTGGCGTTGACCTTGAGCAGCAATCAAACTCGGGTCCCTGGGTTTGTAGCGCAGTGCGCCAACCGCTACACTATCGCACGGACCACACACACACGCACAACAACAACAACCCCTGATTAGCCTCATAGGAAAAGTGCTGTTAGCAAGGATATATGGAGGTCAGCATGAAAAATTACCATCTTCATCAGACTACCTATATATAGTACGTAATTAGGCATGCACACAGACATACAACAACAACCAACGTTCACCACTAAGTGGCAGTGACGTCACCACGACACTTGTGCCATGCTAGGTGCACTTTGAGGCCACGTGAAGTGCCGAAGGCCCGCTGGCAAGAGGTCAACGAACAGACCCAGGTGCCAAGGATTGACTTGGATGACTGGCAGATGCACCAACTGTGCTTCCTACTGTGCCAACTTTCAGCCATAAACAGCCATAACGGCTGTTGGGGAAAATTCAGCGAGCAAGCATCTACAGTGGAGTACGTCGAGCACCGCTGTGTCCGCATGCACAAAGGGTGCAAAAATCTCCGGACACAATCTACCACTGAAGTTCACGACCTCGAATCGTGACGACGCATCGAATCGCCCAGGAGGGCAAAATCAAGCTGTCCCTATGGCCGCCGTTACCCGGCTGGTAGGTGACGCGGCGGATGAGGACGCGGCAGAGGGGGCACGGCGTGCTGCCCGGGTTGTCGCGCGCCAGGCTACGGAGGCACGTCTCGCAGAACACGTGGCGGCACGGGTGGCACAGGTAGGGGCTGCAGTAGACGTCCAGGCAGACGGCGCACGTGTGACCCTCCATCTCGGCGTCGCCTTCGCTCTCGTCCGCCGTGTCCCCGTCGCACTGGGCACGCTGGGAGACGGGAAGCGCCGTGCGTGCAGCGGGCGCGGCGGTCATTGCGTGACATGTGGGGGGGGGGGGGGGGGGGGGGACACTCCTGGGCAAGGTGGCTCGAAAGTCAGCGGTGAATGACATTACATTACATTTTATAGCTTGTGCAGTGTTGAAGAAACGTAATGCTATGCTGCTTGAATGTATCTCGGATCAAAATAATGGGGAGAAATTAGATGGGAAAACAGCATCTTATTTCAAAAGACTCTGCACGTCTTCCATAAATCTCAATACAATCATTAAATATTTTACCACTCTACTATGCAAGGTATGCAGCCATCACTTTCACAATGTTCAATTCCGTGTTTAGAAGTAAGAGGTGCATTATAGATGAGAGGGGTATCAATAATCGATCACCCTGTGCTGCTGAAATTATGCACTTCCAGAAGGCTGTGTGTCTGATGGGTCGCATAAAGAATACTTTCAATATTTAAGTGGAGAGACAGGTATATGAAAGGGACATATATTGTCCGATAATTTATGTTATTCATATACTCCACGACGCTCACGATTATTTTTAGTTATTTAATGTATTATATAATGTTGCATAAGAAACTAGGAACCACATCGTAAAAAAGGGCCCTTGCTTGTAAGATCGGCCGTTTAATGGAATTTATTCAATCAAGCCTGACTGCTCATGAGACAATGAATGTCGAAAATGGTCCAGCATATTGCTTGTATTTGAAACGACGATGCTGATATTATGCACTTCCAGAAGGCCGTGCGGCCGATGGGTTGTATAAGATATTCTTTTATTTGTTATGCGGAGAGACGGATATACGAAGGTGAAATGTTGTCCACTTGATCATGCTTATGTTCTACATATTTGTTAATTGATAGTGCAGTGCAGTGGTAACGCGGTGGTTAGCACACTGAACTCCAGTTTGATTTCTAGTCACAGCTACCATCAGTAGCGAGTGATATCAGACCTGGTCTTGAGTGCTCCCAACACCAACCCACACTGACCACCGTGGTTTTCGGTTTCACAGCGCAGTGAGCTAACCAAAGCGCCACCGCCCCACTAATACTATAAAAAAATATCAACTAAAAGCACACTGTTTTGAGATATGGCCATATTATAATGCTACGTAAGTTCAAGCAGTATAACATTACATTATTCCATGTTGCACAATATGCATAATGTAATGCTGAACATGTGTGTTTTGCACATTGGTGTAGTGTGCTTATCAACACATGTTAATGTACATACGATGTGGATTAATCATGACTGCTTCCATTAAGGTTTTAAATCGAGTCAGCAGAACTGACAAAGCCGATCCAGTTGAGCGCTGCTGCCTACTCCCATTAAGGCCATTCAATCAATCAAGTCCTAGAGAGTAAAATGTGGACCCCATGAGTGCATTAAGATATAAGCAAACTGGTTTCGTTTATCGCAGTTGCTGAGCAGAGGTCCAAAGGCCGGCAAGCATGAGTACTTGTGATAGCGTGGCAGAAAACAAACACATTGAGTGTGGTTATTGGAACATGGGGAAATAGTTGACGGGAGTACGTTCAATAGTCCAGCAGCACGCGGAAAGAAGGAGGAAGAGAATTGTTACGTCCGACGACATTGCAAATGAACATGGTGTGTGCAGACGAGAATAAACATTAAATCTAGTCGGAAGAGTCGTTGATATCGGCAGACGTATCGAGGGGTTAGATTAATGAGAACAATGACTGTGGTAGCTGCAGTAAAAGAGAAACAAGGAAGCAAACAGACAATGGCGAGAATGACTGGACTGCATTCTTCGAGTGCAGGGTTAACCCATCGAGCTAACTGCTTGGCAATGAATCCTCGCATCAAGCAGACTGAGGTAGCAACTGAGAGCTCCCCTTCATATGTGGCAGCGAAGCAACGACACTTGTCAAGAGTTTCCCCCAGCAAGTGGACATGACACTTAGAGCGCCGACTCAAGCGGGCTAAATTTGATAAGTACTTTGCATGGATTGCCATCATATTATATTGATCACAATAATGCTTTAACTTTGGAGCTCTCTCTCTCGCTAACGCACGGACACCACCGCTGTGCTACTGAGCGCATGCAATGCCAGTGATTTTTCAGCCGCGACCTGAAAGGTCATGATGCTTACAGCCACTAAGGCTACAGTTAGATAAGAAATCAATTATCTTGAATCCACTTTAAATTTATCTTGGGGTGGACAATTATAAAACCAATTCATGGCGACTTGAATGGCACCATTATGTACACAGCTTTAGGCCACACTTAAAACAGCATGTTAGTTCATGCCGCACTGCTCTGTGTACACACGTCGTCAGGTCAGGTGTTATCGTTTTAGCTGCCCTATTCTCAATTATCATTGCCTGAGAGATATCGCACCATGTGACTTCTAACAGTGGATTTGCATTACTTTGTGTTTTCACATCCACCTTTGTGAAAGTTAAAACATCCACCTGATGAATTCATTAAAGAGTTGCACTGCTTTAATTCAAAGGACTATAGCCATTGCGCATGCAATGATGATTCACCCTCCACCAAAACGCCAATGCAACGTCGCAAATTGATTCAAGAATGTTTGTCTTGATTGCTTTGTTAGACATGTTTCATTCGTACCAAGGGAATATTTGTATGTGCCCGTAAATATCCGAATTTTAAATTCACAACTTGACACACGTACAGTGAACGTGAAAATATTTTTCAAACGATGAATCAATGAATGTACAGATATTTTTTCGATTTAAAGCTTTCGTGACTACAGGGATTCATTTTCTTGGTTCTTTCGGTAAAGTCACGTAGAATGGAAATAAAATAATGAAAATAAAACATAATAAAATAAAATTCTCACGACGTTTCGGCCACAACACAAGTAGTCTTCTTCAGGTGAAGGAACAGAACTGTCGGGACGACAGCGCTTCAATGAACACTGCTAAGCTTGGCAGCGTCTTTTAAGCTGGGTGGGAGGAGCAGAGCGCCTTGACGAAGGAGTTTACATATCAACAGAAGAATTTAGCATTGAAGTAGCTGTGTTAATGTGTTGGATTAGCAGGGTGTTAAAGTCAGAAATTAGCATGTAACTGGGAGATTAGCATGATGTTAGTGTGAGGGATTAGCATGTAACTGGTCACGGAAGTAGCTATATTAAAATCAGAGTTTACATATCAACAGAGGCATTTAGTATATTGACGCTAAAGAACTGCAACTACCCAAATATCATACAATAAGCCGATGTGAAAGAACTAAGTATAAACTACATCAATATAATAAATGTACTCAATATATTCTTCAATAAGTTGAGCTATTAACATAAAGTAACTGGGTATACACTACACTATATTCTAGATTTGAAGCTTTCGTGACTGCAAGGATCCATACTCTTTGGTTCGATTCGGTGAAGTCAAGTAGGTAAAAAAATAAAACAACAAAAATCACGACGTTTTGGCCACAACACAAGCAGCCTTTATCAGGTGAAGGGACCAGACTGTCTCGAGGACAGCGCTGAAGTGAACACAGCTAAGCTGGTCGAGCACCAATTGGGTCGAGGCTCAAAAGAAAGCCGTCCCTTGGTGTGGACCAATCAGTTTCAAGGACAATGTATATATATTATCATAGTATGTTTTTTGTTAGCATTTTGACTGCAGGTATTGTGGTTAATGCAGACATGAATCCTTGTAAAAAGGTTTCAGCTTTGTTGCCAGAAAAAAGAGAAAAAACCCTATTATTACATTGTATAATACCGTATACACAGCCCAATGTAAGCTCTAACATTATGCATTATATTGATATGTCTCCAACTAAACTTTTTTCTACATTACACGACTATACACCATAATATACACTGCCATAGACAAACCCCACCCTTGAATTATACAATGCGTTACTATACACTACCCTATACTTTAGACTATAAAATATTAGACTTGTAATATTACACTCTGTATTATTCTACCAATGCTACTGTATACCACACTGCTGTATATTCACTATACAATTACAATACTATATATTGCCTTATGAATTATGCTAAACATTACACTGTTATACTATTTATTATTATACATGCTATAAACCATACCATTGACCGTCGTGTGAAAGGTATTAAGAGGCAGTGCCAGCGAATGGACTGCGGTCTGAAAGTCACCGTAAAATACAATCAATCAAGAACCGAAATGGTTTATAACGTCTTTCCAATGGTTACTCAGCCAGAATCCATCTTCTCGGTTGAAATTGTCTCTGTGTTTGTTTATGTGGATGGCCTCATGAACGAATCTCTCACGGTAGCCGGATGGCTTGCAGAGAACCTCCGTCTTGGAGACGTCAATGTCATGTGAGCCCACTGAATTATAACAGTGATCTGCCACGGCTGAGGTGTTCATCCTACCGTGTTTCAAGTCTGCTTTATGTTCACGGATGTGGTCCGAGATATGTCGTTTGGTTTCTCCAATGTAGCTGCTACCACAGAGGCAACTTAGTTTGTAGACGCCTGGGTACTGTATGTCTGGAACCACATCTTTTACAGATGGAACCAGATCACGGATTTTATGTACTGTGTTAAATCGGACCTGGATCTTGTGTTTATTTAGGATTTTTGAGATATTTTTGTGACCCCCGCAATGTAGGGTAAGGTGATGGATTTGAATGGCTCCTCAAGAGGATCCTTCTTCATGGTTGGAGTGATGGCTTTGCGGATTGTGTAGTCGGAGTAACCATTAGTTACTTCCGTGACCAGTTACATGCTAATCCCTCACACTAACATCATGCTAATCTCCCAGTTACATGCTAATTTCTGACTTTAACACCCTGCTAATGCAACACATTAACACAGCTACTTCAATGCTAAATTCTTCTGTTGATATGTAAACTCCTTCGTCAAGGCGCTCTGCTCCTCCCACCCAGCTTAAAAGACGCTAACAAGCTTAGCAGTGTTCATTGAAGTGCTGTCGTCCCGACAGTTCTGTTCCTTCACCTGAAGAAGGCTACTTTTGTTGTGGCCGGAACGTCGTGAGAATTTTATTTTATTGTTTTATTTTTATTATTTTATTTCCATTCTACGTGACTTTACCGAAAGAACCAAGAAGAAAAATGTACAGATCGTTACATGCCTAACCATGAGCTGTAATCCCACCGAGCCGTGTAGGAATCTGACCTTTCCTCTGTCCGTATCCTGCTTTTTCTGCAACCATCGATCTCCTTTGCGCCGATTTCTTCCATCTCTCTTCATGCGACTTCTCTCCTGCATGGAACATGTACAGTGAGGGAAAAAAGTTTTTGATCCCCTGCTGATTTTATACGTTTGCCCACTGACAAAGAAATGATCAGTCTATAATTTTAATGTTAGGTTTATTTGAACAGTGAGAGACAGAATAACAACAAAAAAATCCAGAAAAATGCATGTCAAAAATGTTATAAATTGATTTGCATTTTAATGAGGGAAATAAGTATTTGACCCCTCTGCAAAACATGACTTAGTACTTGGTGGCAAAACCCTTGTTGGCAATCACAGAGGTCAGACGTTTCTTGTAGTTGGCCACCAGGTTTGCACACATCTCAGGAGGGATTTTGTCCCACTCCTCTTTGCAGATCTTCTCCAAGTCATTAAGGTTTTGAGGCTGACGTTTGGCAACTCGAACCTTCAGCTCCCTCCACAGATTTTCTATGGGATTAAGGTCTGGAGACTGGCTAGGCCACTCCAGGACCTTAATGTGCTTCTTCGTGAACCACTCCTTTGTTGCCTTGGCCGTGTGTTTTGGGTCATTGTCATGCTAGAATACCCATCCACGACCCATTTTCAACGCCCTGGCTGAGGGAATGAGGTTCTCACCTAAGATTTGACAGTACATGGTCCCGTCCATCGTCCCTTTGATGTGTTGAAATTGTCCTGTCCCCTTAGCAGAAAAACACCCCCAAAGCATGTTTCCACCTCCATGTTTGACGGTGGGGATGGTGTTCTTGGGGTCATAGGCAGCATTCCTCCTCCTCCAAACACGGCGAGTTGAGTTGATGCCAAAGAGCTCCATTTTGGTCTCATCTGACCACAACACTTTCACCCAGTTTTCCTCTGAATCATTCAGATGTTCATTGGCAAACTTCAGACGGGCATGTATATGTGCTTTCTGGAGCAGGGGGACCTTGCGGGCGCTGCAGGATTTCAGTCATTCACGGCGTAGTGTGTTACCAATTGTTTTCTTGGTGACTATGGTCCCAGCTGCCTTGAGATCATTGACAAGATCCTCCCGTGTAGTTCTGGGCTGATTCCTCACCGTTCTCATGATCATTGCAACTCCACGAGGTGAGATCTTACATGGAGCCCCAGGCCAAGGGAGATTGACAGTTATTTTGTGTTTCTTCCATCTGCGAATAATCGCACCAACTGTTGTCACCTTCTTACCAATCTGCTTGGCAATGGTCTTGTAGCCCATTCAGCCTTGTGTAGGTCTACAATCTTGTCCCTGACATCCTTGGAGAGCTCTTTGGTCTTGGCCATGGTGGAGAGTTTGGAATCTGATTGATTGATTGCTTCTGTGGTAACAAGCTGAGATTAGGAGCACTTCCTTTAAGAGTGTGCTTCCTAATCTCAGCTCGTTGCCTGTATAAAAGACACCTGGGAGCCAGAAATCTTTCTGATTGAGAGGTCAAATACTTATTTCCCTCATTAAAGTGCAAATCAATTTATAACATTTTTGACATGCGTTTTTCTGGATTTTCTTGTTGTTATTGTCTCTCACTGTTCAAATAAACCTACCATTAAAATTATAGACTGATCCTTGTCAGTGGGCAAACGTACAAAATCAGCAGGGGATCAAATACTTTTTTCCCTCACTGTATGTATTATGTTTTTAATGTTACTGTACTTGAGATTGCATTTGCCCAATTTGTGGAACTGCCCATTAGTTACTTTCAATAATACGTCATAAAAATGCATTACATCTAAATTTATAGCGACATGAATCACATTACATTAATTCAATTACGCTAAAAATTTTCGCTAATGCAAGCAGCATCGTTTTTACATGGGTGAACACTGAACAAGCACAACGTTCCAAGAGGATAAAACAAATACCTCGGACTGCGCACGTTCCTCCACGTCAGCCTCCAGGAATTCACGATTCCGTTGAAACTCCAAGGGCAACCGTGGCCGCTCAAGGGCACCAGAGGGCTGTGCTTCATCTTCACAATCAGACTCGCTGCCAGAGCCACTGCTGCTGTCGCTGAATAACATCCGTGCTGCCACTCCTGATGCTGATCCAACAGTCCCGTCCCCTCCGTCCGACCTCCTGAGCGTCATCCCGTCACCGTCATTGTTCCGCGCCCGATTCCGGAGAGAGCCGGTCACGCCACACATGGCGGAGCAGGACAGAGTCCGCCGAGTGTGCGTGTTTTCGTGATCATCTTCCAGAATAGCCGATCGTTCACCATCAGCAGGCTCCCTGTGAAAGTGAGCCAGCAAGCTGGACATGCAGGGAGAGCTCCCAATTTCCCTCTTACCCCAGACCGCCGTCGCGCTCCGCGACCGCCTGTAAGCAAGGGGAGAGTAAACGGCAGGAGGACTCCCGCCACTGTTTCTCAGGTCCAAGCTGAAGCATTTCCTGTGTCTTCTGACGACATGTGCGGGAGGAGGTCCTGTTGCCGGGACCGACGCCTGAAGAATCTTCTCGATTGTGCACCTCTCAGCCTTGCCCTGCTCAGTCTGCGGCATGCACAGAGAACGCTGTAAACAGGCTTCCAAGCTCGTTTTGCTGGGAAGTGACTGCGGTGGCTCGGTTAAGGGGTCCTTCACAGCCGGGCAAAGGTCCCTCCGAATGAAATTGGGCTTCGACTGCACGTCGATTGAGTTTGGTGGGGAAGTCACTTCGTAGTCCACTCGGCTCTTGCAGATTTGCACAGCGGGGACCATGTACTCACCGCATAGGCATCTGGAGGGAATTACAAAATTGAATGATCCCAAACGGCCACCACAGTGTGGGCAATGAAGCTTCCCCTTTGTCCACTGACCCTGCAAGCCGACAGAATGGAAAACAAACAGTCACAATGCACAAATTGTCAGCAGGGCTCTGCTATTCTCGTACACGAAAGCTCGTTCCATAACGCACTGCAGCTTTTGAAAATTGCCACCATCAGCCGCAGAGGTCATGTGAGTTATGACTGTAATGTACAAAATGGATGGTCATCAACTTAAAAAAACACATTCAGTATGTGTTCTACAGAAGTGCACATGTGCAGGTACGGGATGTGTATAATATTTACATTTCAATAACTTTTTCCCCCATACAATTTCATCATGTTACTGAGGAATACCAGGACATTTTGCTTTATGCAGAAGCACAGAAACGATGGTTTAAGTGCTGCCTCTACCATGTAAACACGGTGTTATGAAAACGCAAATCAGCATTTTCATTATTCGCGAATACAGCACGCTTGTTGTGAAAAACACTGGGGAAGTGCATAAATGATTCATCGTGGTTTGTTGGAAAAAGGTATTGTTTGCTTCATAACAAATATCAAAAATACAATATTTTTGAAAGCCACATGAATGTGAGTACATTGTATAAATAAAAACAATCAGTACAAAGAGATATCCCTTAAAGGTATTTACTAAAATGTGGTCTATTTGAGCTAGAGTTTTGTTGAATGATTTGAAAAGACTTTACTAACATGTTTTTTGTAATGTGTGCGCATATCTCCCAAAAATGGTTACTTTCCAAAAGTGCGTAAAGTTTGAATAAGTTTGAATAAAGCGTAGCTACCCTATCCATTTCTGTTGTCAGCCAGGAGGGGACGTTCTCTTGGTTGATGTACCAGATGGAGCTCTCGTCCTCTCTCTCGCACTTGCCTTCACAATCACGGGGGTTCTGTAAAGATTTGCCAACGAGGTAAAACTGACCTTGCGCTGGTTTCAATAAAAACACTGCCAAGTAAAATCATCTGGCACAGTAAAATCATAGATTTTTAGAAACTGGCAAACATTAAAACATCAGTATGCGGTAACTGTGATTTGGCCATAGCCTTGGCCAGTATTTACATGCAATTGTGGACCATGGATTTAGGATACATGTGGTCGTTACCAGCTGTTCTCCATGCGAGCTCAGCAAGTTGCTCGAGTCCATTAGTGGCCGTCGGCATTTCCAACAGCGAAGAATTGCTGTCTGAACCACAGGGTGCCTTCTCATGTCCTGAATGATCCACTGCAGAGAACATACTGATAAATAACATATTTTGATTTAAAGCTTTCGTGACTGCAGTAATTTATTTTCTTAGCTCTTTCGGTAAAGTCACGTTGAAGGGAAACAATAAAATAATAAAATATATAATAATAACAATAAAATAATGAAATATATTAGCAATATATATTTTATTATTTTATTGTTTCCCTTCAACGTGACTTTACCGAAAGAGCTAAGAATATAAATATCACATTGTACAGGGCAAAGAACATATGGCAGGCAGGAAGAGTTACACAAACCTGCATAATTGTATGTATCGCGCAGTTCCTTTTTATGAAGCCCCATAGATGTTTATGCTGTTGAGATGTTGTATCATAACAATTGCAACACAGCACCAGCCAATTTCACCATCACAACATTTACACATTCTAAAATTGCATTTTCTGTTCTGGGATTCATTTAAGAGCTGCACATACTAAATCACAGGTGACACATGGATGTCTTAGTACATACAAGCTGCCCCGAATTGCCCTCCTTAAAGTCACATGTCAAAATGAGGACAGAGACAAAGTCTCAAGGGCATATGGCATTTACAGAATAAACAAGATGGGAAAACTGTATATTTAAAGATCGTGTTTACTTTACCTACATCAATATTATATGAGACCAAATGTGAAAACAAGCATAATTCTGAATTTCAGTCAGAGTAGGATGTCTGTAAGGCACATGCATAACAGTTTCCATGGTTATATTCAATACTTAATCTGGCAGTATTTACTGGTCTCATTAAAGTTGCAAAATGGCAAATTAATTCCATTTATAACCGTCAATGACCACTTTTTTTGTCAAAATGGTGTGCAAACTAAACCAATATATGATGCCTTCACTCGGGGATTTTTTTTTCTCTAAAAACAATTACACCGACAATAGTACTAATTTGAGATGAAGTAAAGTTTAATGACAGATATGAATCCACAGGCCTTGATAGTGCAACGTTAACTCGATGACAAGGACCTATCCCCAAGCACTTGACGTGTCTGGCACATTTCAAGAATGTGTTACTTAAATGTACAACCCTCATAATAACATTTCAAGGTACCAAAACAAAATCACGTTCAACACTGTATATGTTAAAAGCAATTAACACAGCACATTAACCTCCAAAGATTGCTCAAGCGAACCCAATTTTCTTTATTCAAGACAAGGTAAGAGGCGACAAAATACACAATATATCTTTTGAAAGAAATCTCTAGGTCACCGTACATTGACCAATATTATGGTAATACGTATATTATTGAGTAGAAATCGACCTTTAAATTACTGTTTGCTATGAGATTTAACAAATCTTGTGCATCAGTGTTTGGCAATAAACCTGAAACATGACCCAGTGTCAAAAGGATTGAACCGCTGATCCCATTTAAGCTGTCACATAGGCATCCACACTGACCACTATATTACCGAAGCTGTATCACACTGTGTTTCCATTAAAATATCGATTCAAATGAGCTGTTATACTCATGTAAAAATCAACAAGTTATTTGACAAAATGCATGGGTAATGTTGGAATGTGGTTAAAACCATTGGACTAACAATGACTCAGCATTGGCCCAACATTTAATGTTTACTTGGACATGGTTGCTTTGTGTACACAAAACCCCATTTTTATTTAATAGATTGCAATCATTTGCAATCTATCTAATGAAAATAGATTGCAAATCATTTGCAATCATTTTAAATCTATTTCATTGCACACGAATAGATGGCAAATGATTGCAAATGGCAGCTTCCAAAATGCACTAAAGGTACAGCATAATTCAAAGCTTTTGTAGACTATTGTGGCGTGTTTGCATGTTTATTGAAGCACATTTAACAAACGCTTCCCATGGAAACAAAGTCAGTCCTTTATAAAGGGAATAAACTGAAAGTCAAGAAAATAAAAATTACGTTTTCAAAATCCATTACAGAGAAGTTATTCAGCCAGAGCCCATTTAACTTTTGGCTAGGCACAAACAGGGAAGTCGACAGAGGAGAGGTAGGCACGGAGTTGTAGACAAGCTTCAGACAATCCTTATGATTGAAAGCTGTTAATTTTCAAAATTGCAGGTTTGTGGATGGCTACGGCTATTACAGAGAGCCCCTAACCTCATGGAAGGTCACCGACACAAAGTATGCATTTGTAATCATGAACATGTAAACATTTAAATATTCAGCTTCTAAACGTCCATCTTATCCACATGATGATGAACAACAAAACCTATTAAAGTTTTCATTAAGTAAACTACTGAGATTCGAAACAAAACGTGTATGCATGTACAGCTAGAGACACGATGGCGATACCAAGAAAATGACAGAAACACTCAACAAACAGCATGCTCTGTCTTGGCCATGTCTTGATCGATTCCAGTTGAAGGTTTTGAGATAAACTGCATATGTAAACCCAAATTGTATTGTTTATCGCCAAATCACTGCGTTCAAACCATCAGAGGCAGCTTACATGTGTGTCAAATGCCTACAGAGGAATGCACATTCCAAAGGCCAGAATTCCAAAAAAGCCTTTCACATCTATCACTGCACAGCTACCTTTTAACATGTGACAGCTGGCAAAGTGGTGAAGGCAACTTCAAGGGAGTATGTGGATCTGTTAACACCATTGCATAAGCTTTCGTGTAAACAAGCATATGTCCTCTCAAATTGTGTCGAATGTTAAAATATAAAGCCGTTACACAACACCTATAAAAATGCTAATATTGAAAAGCCTCACTTAGTCTTAAAGCAATTTTCAGCAGTTTTATGCAAGAGCACGTTTGGGGGGGTTCTATTATATATATAATTTGCATACGAGAGGAAGCCCTGGGAACATCCACCACGCATATGTGGGCATAGCATTTCAGTGTCCTCAATCTGCACAGATAGGTTCAGGACAACCAATTGAACCCATTCTCCTGGCCACTTTGCAACAGCGGGGGCGTGAGTATTTCAATACATCGCAATGCAATCCACCAAACCTTGCCTCCTAAGTGCTGAATAGTGAAGTAAACAGTCGAGCATGTGGCCAAATTATCCGGAATTCGTCTGGTCTTGGAAGACGAGCAGGGCTTGCGCTTGGATAGTGCTTGCATGGGAAAACGCTACACCTAAACTAGGAGTTATTGGCTGCTGTTGGCAGTGAAGTGCAGGGAAATCCATTGTTAGCCAAATAATAGTTCAGTTCGCCTATGGTCACTCAAAACTATGCTCCATACTCGCAAACAAAGTCCAACAACAACAACGCCGGTTAACAGATCGCTGTGCAAAGCAATTCCTGCCACGCGAACACCGGTGGGCCTCGTGCCAAAGCAGTGAAGACGTTCGTTCTTCATGTGGTGGCCAAGGCGGTCAGCCGCGTGGCCCTCTTGAGATTGACGGCGTGAGAGCAGCCGACAAAAAAAAGTGGGAAATAATCGCCCGTTTAGTTTATCCACACAAAGCACGACCCAGCATCGAAACGCTCGAGACCCCGAGTTACTGTGGCCGCGATTGCGTTCCACGCACGCGCAAATGACGAAGTCTCGCGATTTGGAGATTAACTGACTGTACGCGCCATATGGGTCAATTTAACAACAAAACCAATCCAAATTGTCAACATGGGTAAAACAAAACAAAAAAGGCCACTGCCGCGTATAACTGTAGCTGGTTCGCGTGGAGATGAAAATAATTGCCGTAAAATAAGAGATTTCAAAGGGTCCCCTACAAGTTGTTGTCACGTCTCCTCTGGATATGTCCACATTTCGTGGTTCTCGGTAAAGGAGGCCGAGACATTGACGTGAAACGCCGCGCACTCGACCGGGACCTGCGAGGGGGGTTGCCCGGCAGGTATTCCAAGCGAGACCGAGGCTCACCGAGGCCCGCTAGGCCGCGACCCTTTCGACTACCTTTCACCGCATGCAAAAACCGCAAAACTATCAGCGCGTTGATCACGAGACAAAAAAAATAACACGCGCACGGCAAGAGCACGAACTGCACCAGAGACGTGTTGCTATCACGGGAAGCAACATAATTTATACTGAGTACAGTACAACAACAAAACACTGACCGTGAACGGACGGATGACGATGTTAGCAGAAAGTTGGAGCGATGTATCGCGTCCCGGGCTCCCTATTGACACGTGTGTGTGTACGTTTAATTTGAAATGTCAATAACTACCAGCTTTAAGAGCGCTTAATTATTAACTTTGACGAGACAGCGATCGCCCATCTCGTCTCAAGCGAGGAATACGAGCGAGTGTTATCCGCGCTCAGATCAGCCCCCGTGCCATCACAGCCACTCCTGCACCCTTGCATATAATTACAGCGCGTTTTTTTAAATCATTACAACCACATCGTTTTACAGTTTTAAAATTGACTTGACGTAAGTCTAATATCGTTTTTGAGGGGATAATTTTTTTTGAGGACTTTTAAGTGTGTATTATGATGTAAAGTTTCATACTCGAGGTGAATAAATTGCGGATGAAAAAAACCAAACGTACCTGGCAACAACTCTTTAACATGAATTTATTTTATACGCAATAAGCAACAATGTAATGCGCCGGAAGAGATAAACGATTCGTCGTGATAAACTAGATTATTTTCACGGGGCAACTGTACGTGTAAACAAATGCGCGCCTAGCGGGCATTTGAAATGATGGCTTCGGACCTTGCAATTTGTGAATACCATCATCCTGACATCATGAGTTTTGAGTTCATTTCGTTACACATATGATCCCGTTTAACCAGTTTACCCAGGCTATTTTACACGGTGTTTGGCATTACTAGGGGAGGTGTCATTTGCAACGAAGCCCATTGCAGTTGATGGAGTAGCCACATTAAACACGTACATCACCAATGCCACTGTCACCATCGCCAGGGGAATGGCAAACTCCAGTGCCTTTCTAAACTTTACTCATCTTATATGTACAACCATAAAGGATTGCTGTGCACCCATAATTATTGCTTATCACGCGCTACGTGACAGATGGCTTCTTACTCAAATTAATAGTGAGATTGTGAGCGTGTGTGCAGTTCTGGCCAGTGTGGTGGCAAGCGCACTGCGCCACGAATTCAGCCACCAAGGTTCGATTCACAGCCCACAGACAACATCGCTGGCGAAAAACATATCTGAACCTGGTCGCAGGTTGACTCACCTTTTAAATGAGTGCCGGGTGCGGTGTGTACACATCATCACTGGGGAGACAAAGGCGTCCGGGTGTGGTATTGGTCACCCACCATTTGTTGGGTACCGTGCCGGCCTTCACATCGGTCCAACACTTGCCCCAAGAGGCTGTTTCAAGGCTTTACGGGGGGACGTTTGTAAAAAAAAACCATAAACTATTTTGTTTTATTTTGCTAGGTAAGGCCCACTGAGCTATACAGTGAGGGAAAAAAAGTTTTTGATCCCCTGCTGATTTTGTACGTTTGCCCACTGACAAAGAAATGATCAGTATATAATTTTAATGGTAGGTTTATTTGAACAGTGAGAGACAGAATAACAACAAAATCCAGAAAAACGCATGTCAAAAATGTTATATATTGATTAGCATTTTAATGAGAGAAATAAGTATTTAACCCCTCTGCAAAACATGACTTCGTACTTGGTGGCAAAACCCTTGTTGGCAATCACAGAGGTCAGACGTTTCTTGTAGTTGGCCACCAGGTTTGCACACATCTCAGGAGGGATTTTGTCCCACTCCTCTTTGCAGATCTTCTCCAAGTCATTAAGGTTTCGAGACTGACGTTTGATAACTCGAACCTTCAGCTCCCTCCACAGATTTTCTATCGGATTAATGTCTGGAGACTGGCAAGGACACTCCAGGACCTTAATGTGCTTCTTCTTGAGCCACTCCTTTGTTGCCTTGGCCGTGTGTTTTGGGTCATTGTCATGCTAGAATACCCATCCACGACCCATTTTCAATGCCCTGGCTGAGGGAAGGAGGTTCTCACCCAAGATTTGACAGTACATGGCCCCGTCCATCGTTCCTTTGATGTGGTGAAGTTGTCCTGTCCCCTTAGCAGAAAAACACCCCCAAAGCATAATGTTTCCACCTCCATGTTTGACGGTGGGGATGGTGTTCTTGCGGTCATAGGCAGCATTCCTCCTCCTCCAAACACGGCGAGTTGAGTTGATGCCAAAGAGCTCCATTTTGGTCTCATCTGACCACAACACTTTCACCCAGTTTTCCTCTGAATCATTCAGATGTTCATTGGCAAACTTCAGACGGGCATGTATATGTGCTTTCTTGAGCAGGGGGACCTTGCGGGCACTGCAGGATTTCAGTCCTTCACGGCGTAGTGTGTTACCAATTGTTTTCTTGGTGACTATGGTCCCAGCTGCCTTGAGATCATTGACAAGATCCTTCCGTGTAGTTCTGGGCTGATTCCTCACCGTTCTCATGATCATTGCAACTCCACGAGGTGAGATCTTGCATGGAGCCCCAGGCCGAGGGAGATTGACAGTTCTTTTGTGTTTCTTCCATTTGCAAATAATCGCACAAACTGTTGTCACCTTCTCACCAAGCTGCTTGGCAATGGTCTTGTAGCCCATTCCAGCCTTGTGTAGGTCTACAATCTTGTCCCTGACATCCTTGGAGAGCTCTTTGGTCTTGGCCATGGTGGAGAGTTTGGAATCTGATTGATTGATTGCTTCTGTGGACACCTGGAAGCCAAAAATCTTTCTGATTGAGAGGGGGTCAAATACTTATTTCCCTCATTAAAATGCAAATCAATTTATAACATTTTTGACATGCGTTTTTCTGGATTTTTTTGTTGTTATTCTGTATCTCACTGTTCAAATAAACCTACCATTAAAATTATAGACTGATCATTTCTTTTTCAGTGGGCAAACGTACAAAATCAGCAGGGGATCAAATACTTTTTTTCCCTCACTGTATAGGCCCTTTTCCTGAAGCCGGCTGGCCACGAATGATTGCGCAATGAAGTGGCGTATTCCGTGTAAATGTATCGCAGCCAAATTCTCTAAACGCGTGATGTTGATTCTAAATATGGACATAAAAACCCCGAGGACTTGGAGAAAAATCCACGCGACCGCGAGGAGAAAGCCATGCAAGCTCTAAGTTTAATTAAGTGGCTTATCGTGACAGCTTCATTAAGTGGCTCATCATGTGGAAATTTATAGCAGCCAAATAATTTAAATAGTGTAATTTGTGTTTTGTGCAGGTGAAAATCTCTGTCTGACTGGATTTTTTTGACGCTATTTGATTTTAAGCATTATTTATTGTTTATCCGGCTTGCAAGAAGTTGAGTTATGCAGCTCGTGTAAATAATTTGGTGTTGTTTTAGCTCTTGTTAACTTTAACTCTTCCCACCCTGCGATGACCTTTGACTTGTCGCCACTGTCAGCGGTTCTTGGGCTGTGGTCGTCGAGGTAATACAGCTGCTTAGCTCAATGGAGACCTTTGCAATCCCAATACAGATTCGGAGGTTACTTATTTTACTGTGAATATATATTTGCAAAAAGAAAAATATATTTGCAACAGTCAATATATATTTGCAACATTTTGGCTAGCCATCGACCAAAGACGGCCAACTACATCGTACACTTGCAGATGCGCTTCTGCGGCTGTCTGGACCCGGAGAAAAATCCACACGGGGAGAGAAACATACAAATATATAGGTATCAGGGTCGGGATGGAACCCAGGACTTCCTGTATATGAGGCGAGGAGGTTAACATCTCACCACCGCGGCATCCCTTTGTCGTTGGTGCTGGCCACACCACCAACCCCCTTGTGTGCCGTACAGGCCATTATAGCTACGTATTTGCGGGCAGAACTCCCCCCCTCCCCCCTAAAAAAAGGGCTATATTGGGGGAATCAGTCTTGTGTCTCCCACGTGGTGTAACTACCTCGCCTGGTATACAGGAGGTCGTGGGTTCAATTCCGAACCTGATGCCTGTATGCTTGGAGTTTGCGTGTCTCTCTCTCTCTCTCTCCTCGCGTGTCACGTGGATTTTTCTCCGGGTCCTCCGGTTTATCCCTGCACGTTTAGAATCAACATCACGCGTTTAGAGAGTATTTGGCTGCTATACATTTCAACATGATAAGCCACTTCGTTGAGCTATCAATTGTGACCGGATCGCTTTTGAAAAAGAGCTATTTTGCTCAGTGGGTCTTACCTGGTCTTTCTAAGTAACAACATGATAAGCCACTTCGTTGAGCTATCATTTGTGACCAGATCGCTTCTGAAAAAGAGCTACATAGCTCAGTGGGTGTTACCTGGTAATTTATAAATACTAGCTTGGTTTGCCCATCCTAGGACGGAAGCTGTAATATTTACGAAAAAATGTAGCAGAATATAATTGTATCTTGTGTCAATTTAATGGCAGTGACTCTTGCACAAAAGTATGTCATCAAACACTTCACTGCAGTTCACTGTAGCACTGTATTAATGGCAGTGATTCTTGCACAAAACTACGTTATAAAACACCTCACTTCATGTCACTGTAGCACCGTATATAACTGACCTTAAATTTGTTCAAATTCACTGCTCTGATACTTTATTCGGTCGCTGGGGTCGAAATAAATTGGAATTCGATACAACATGTGGAAAATCACCGATAAATGTCTATTTTACCATAATGTAGAAGCATAAATTAGACATACCTTTTGTCTCAAGTGCTGAAGAAATAAATAAAGACACCAAATCCACTTTGTTGCTGCGTATAATTATTTAATAGATTCACTTTTAATAAAGAAACGTCAAACTTAAAGCGAATTTGCGAAAAAAAAACATTATTTACGCTCGAGCTTCTTCTACCTAAGTGTAAAAATTCATCTGCTCATGAATATTAATGACGGGAGGGGGGTGTGGCATGTGGAGTGACGTCACGTGCGTTACACACAAACAGGCATTCTTGGCTCATTATAGTAGTAATATTTTTTTAAATTTTAAATGTGTATACGTGTATTTTCCACGTGACACATAAGAGTACTAAGTTGGTGGGTTAAATGTCCGTCTTCATTTTTAATCGGAACTTTCCAAGTAACGCGTGGGACGTGTTTAGCAATCACAAGGCGCATTGAGTATTGTGTACCAACTTTATTTGTGTGTGTGTGTGTTGAACAAGGAAAGATTGGTAAACATGGAACAACTTGCGTGATGTGGTGGGTCATGAGGACTTGGGTCTTAAGAAACCCCGACTTAAGAGTACAGGTTACATCAGTCAATGCAGGACGCTGTCGAGCCCCGCGTGTGTTTGGGTAGCATAAGAAGGCCAGCGATTCGTTTAAGCTGCCAAACAGAGGAATAAGCTTAATTATAGCTGGCGTGATTGTTACTGCCAAGGCCAGCCAGATTAGACCCGTTTAAACCCTGAGACAAATTATCCACTGTATACCCGTGCGTGTCGTTATCGTTAAATTTCTCCCACATTCATTCATTCATGTTGTCAGCCCTGCTGTGCACGGC